CGGAGGCGAAAGGAACATACAAAGGAGCGACTAATCATTAATGACGTTGAGGAACTCTTAAACAAATTAAAGAAAGCAAAATGGGAGGGTCAATATTACCTTGTATCAAACTATTCAGTAACTTAATGCCCGARATCTGTCTACGCTCAGCCAGCAAAACCAACCCATGTTGAGAAGCAATTGGTCTATAGTTATGGTGTTCACAGGGGATATTCAATCTAAAACTAGCATACCTCTTAAATTTACGATGAACCCTTTCAAGCTTAAGAGAGTCAATGAGTTCGTGAGRATCCCAAATTACAGCACCATAMTCAACAATAGGGCTAACAAAAGCACAATAAAGCTATCTTATAAGAAAGGCCTAACCCAAAGTAGTCCTTACATATTCCTAATAACAAGTACCAGAGTTTTAAAAGCCTTACAACAAATATGCTCAATGTTGAGTGTGTTATAAAATAAATGAAAATGAAGTATTAAAAACAAATTTAATTTTATAAAAATTGTGCGAAATTAACATAGGATTTGTGGAGGCATATATATTTTATTAGATAAACAATTAAGAAAAGTATTTAATCATTAATGTCGATTGAAATCTTGCTTTTTGTTGCATTTTTTTTTTTTTGTATGTAAAATCCAAATGAATATGTTAAAATATTTAATTTGATGCTGTAATGAAACAAAATTATTAATTTGAACTTATATTTTTAATTAATTAATTATTATTGTTATTAGCATGTTATCCGTTCGAAGGACAAGATCCATTTATTATAAAAGAAATGCCAGACGTGTTCTTTGTATCAAATCAACAATCATTTCAGACATCACTTAAAACAAATAGCAGTGGTATTTTATATAAATTAAATAATAGACTAAGAGGTTGCTTCAACCACATATTTTTTTGTTGCCATTTACAGAAGTAAAATAAATCTAATTTCAGCTGAATTAATTTTGTATTGTCAGCTTAATTAATATTAGAGTATATTGACCGATTATTAAAATTAAAGAAGATAATTATCTGTTTTTTGTTTAAYGATATTTTGATTTGTAACTTAAGTTACGAATATGATAAATATAAAAAATTTAAAAATGTTTGTACTTCACTGAAAAATTCAAGTAAATAAAAAAACTAAAATACAAAATCAATTATAATATACTCTAATATTAAGAAAGCAAACACAAAATTGGTTCTAAAGAATGCAAATGTCCTATGTTGTAGAATGAGACACATGTGGGTATGGCTTCCTCTGAATTAAGATTTGTCAATAATAAAATTTAAAAAATTTTTGTTACAGGCAAATCTACTAGACTTATAAGTGTGCCATCTTTTTCATCAACTCAAACTTGTGTTYTACTGAACCTCAATAATCTAGAATGCCATCCAATATCGTTTAAGACATTCGCTCCTTAGTACCATTCAATATTATTTCAAAATGTAATTTTGTTTCATTTAAGATTTATTGTTCATAAATA